TGTTGCTGGTTTTTTTTTTTTTTTTTTTTTTTTTCTCGTTCAGATTCGAATTGCCTTTTAACATAGTAAAATAATTATTGAAAATAGTAAAATAATAGTTGCTAATTAACTGAATAAAGACTGAAGTGTTCAAGGGATTCTCGTATTAATGATTACTTTGAAATTCCACGGACCTTCACTGGAACACATGAATATTCTACACAAAGTTGAGGCTAAACCTGAGCAACAGAGAATAAGCCTGAAGCGAGATGACGTTTTACCCCCGACTCTATACCATAATAGTTTTTAAAATTCTTTCATATTAAAATTTTTGATTCCTTAGAGAATACAGGAACAATAGTCATAATTAAAGAACAAAAACAATGTGAAAAGGATTATGGTCTAGAGACGGGGGTAAAACGTCATCTCGCTTCAGGCTTATTCGAAGTTAGAGTAGTATTTTAGATTTGATTGCTTTATCATTAATTTGATTATACAGATCAAGCATGTCTGGGCTGTATGCTGAAGCCAGTGCTGTTCAAATAGGCGTCACCGTGGCACTATCTATCCTAGTAGTGACGGACCTCATAGGAAACACCCTGGTTATACTGATCATTCTGACCAATAAATCCATGAAATCACCAATGAACTACCTTCTCGTCAACCTTGCTGTGGCTGACATGATCGTAGGTGTGTTTCTAACGCCTCGATTCGTGTTCAGCCATTTCTTTATCCATCCTCATGGACTTGCTGGAAGATTAACATGCATGTTTCTAACGGCGGGAAATATTTCCTGGACGGGTGCTGCGTCATCTATCATCTCTCTTCTGGCGATATCTTGTGAGAGATTCACTGCTATAATGTATCCTCACTCTACGAAGCTTAAACTAACGTTACCAAGGGTTAAGCGAATAGTTATTGGAAGCTGGATGTTCGCTGTAGTGCTGAATATTCCCCTCTTTGTGACCGTGTATTACGATAAATACATCAACATTTGCATGGAAAAATGGCCGAAACAACACATGTGGCTTGCTAAAGCTTACAGCACGGTTTGGTTTATTTTTGCTGGGGTTATTCCAGTCGCCATCATGTTTGTTCTGTACAGCAGAGTCATCTACTCTCTTTGGTTCAAGCAAAACCAAGAACAAGGTACACAACTAGCCGTGTTGAAGTCAAGAAAGAGAGTAACCAAGATGGTGGTCATTGTCAGCGTTGTATATGCAGTCTGCTGGTTGCCCGAAGAAACCGTCTACCTTCTTCACCACTACGACCAACCGTTCAACAATAATGACGTAATCTATAACATTTGTGTCGTCCTGGCAACGTTCAACTCGGCCATCAACCCATTCATCTATACTCTACAGAGCGAGAAGTTCAGAAATTGCTTAATCAGGCTTGTTTGCTTGAGGAGATTTCGAAGAAATTCGGTTGGTGTGGAGATGGAATCGTTTGACACCGGCCCTAAAACAGGCAGTCGTATTGATCAGCACAACCATGACCAGGGTACACAAGAACAAATTACAACATTAAAAGAATAAATCACATCAGAAAAGGACTGATAAAATAGAGACGAAAAGACCACACCACACTGTACCACTGTACGTGGATTTCAGCACGTTCCCCAAAAACCATTAGCACATGAAATTACGAAACGAAAATGACGGAGTTTTCTCCGCTATTACAGCAGGCTTTCATTACATCTATTAATAACTAGCCACACCCCAATCCTATTGTGTGATGCGGTTGTTATCCTCAATAATGTCCCGGTACAGGTCTATATTTCAAAAATCTAGACCTGTCCCGGGGACATTCATATCAAATCAATATGAAATCCAAATCCATTGTTCCTAAATAACGCATCTATGCAATTAGAGTATAAGATTCTCGTTTACGGCAAACGTGAGACGTCAGTTGACCATTTTTATTTTTTAATTAGTGAAAAGTAAACGCAAAAATGTCCAAGTAGTGGATAAACAAAAGAATACTTGTCTTTGTCGAGAAGGTTTGCAAAAGGTAAAGTGAAATGTAGGGAAACGATGAAAACGTGGTCACGTTTGCCGTTTGCGGGAAGAAAAAACTGGAATCCTAATCTGCCTGTTATCGTTGCGTCGACGTTGGTTATTAAATCCGATCTGCGCCCTCGGCCTCGGCCTTTATAGGAATACCCTCGCCCTATTGTTTGATCCTTTACTTATTTTTTTAACTGCATGTAATGCACACACCAAATAAGTACCCACGGATATATCGTCCAAACCTAAAGTGACCATACTCCCTTGTGTCAACACGAACACCAGAAATGGAAAGTGCACCTTGATAAAGAGGTCGAGTTTCTTTCAGCTTATTGATAGAAAACAGGAGAAATAGCATTAAATATAATAACTAATATTTCATACGTCATCTATTTTAAATTCGTAAAAATACACAGGTGATTATAGAAAAATAATAAAAATCTTTGAAGCGGCTAGTCGCTCGCGAAGCCTCGGGCCGATTTTTTCCCATATCTTATTCCCTTCGTGCCTAGGGCTTTGTGGGCGAATTCTCATAGTAAAAATATATAATTCATACTATCTAAGTGCGTGACAGACGTCAGATGATCTACAAAATCTACAAAGCTTTTCGCTGTTGCATCACAGCGTGGGACAATCACAACAGAGCTAGGCTCCAAACTAAGTGAAAGCCCAAAGATCGAATTAGAATTTAGAAGTTGATTTTTGAGGAGGGAGGAAAACCGGAGAACCCGGAGAAAAACCCTCGAAGCACAGGAGAGAACCAACAAACAACTCTACTCACATACGACATCGAGATCGGCAGGACGAACTCGAGCCGAATTGATGAGAGGCGGCGCATTATGCTTCCCATAAACGGTGAACCGAAAGGAAATATCCTGAATCACAGCTGCCATTCTGGCTGTCATAATCTAATAATAGCTATAGAGTGGAATGGTTTGGAAACTCCATAGAATAAAGATATTGTTTTGCGTTTGAGGTTGAACCGTACCATCACGTGATACTGACCGTGAACAATGGACCAAAGCAAGTATGACTGAAAATACTCATTTCCTTATTATTTTCATGTTTGAACATTTTGAAAGTGAAAAATTTTATCCGATGCCAACAAACCATGCGGATAAATATTTCCGTTCAGATACAGTTAAATTACTAGATGATAAAAAAGAAAGCATTAAAAAGGGCAATTTCCTTTTCGATGAGCAATAAATAATATCGTATAGGATTAATTAACAAATAATAACCATTTTAAAACGTTTTTTAGGAAAAAATATATATATTCCCTAATACTGTGAACAAAGTACAGAACCATTTTTCCTTTTCTGTGCAAGGTCAACGTCATATAACAATGGATAAAGTCAAACAAAAACCTAGAACAATAGGTTTCCCAGCCATTCCGTTGCATTAACTATGTTCTAATCTCAGGTATCTTACTATTACGTTAAAAAATAAGTGTAAACCCTTAGAAGTACTGGCTTACTCTCTGGTACAGTCCTTTAAGATTTGCGACACCCTAAGAGGTACCAAAGTATCAACCGAGCGCAAAGAGGTTAGGTGAGTTGAGGCAAAATATACCAACCTGCAGATTTGGATCCCTTAAATAAGGTACGATCCGCATTCTTTTCCAATCGGAGATACCCCAAAGCTTTATTAATATACCATTTGTATAAAAATATATTTAAATTACAAAAAAAGCTTAACAAATTATCAAAATAGTAGATGTTAAAATAATCTTTTTTTTTTTTTTTTTTGATTTTCTCTTCACAATTTTTCCTTACATAAAATATCCCCTTTCGCTTCAGTTCAGGTCAAAATTAGAGCTTTTATGACGAAAGTTTTTGCTAAGACATTATATATTTTCAGATTTTTTGGTTATCAGACCTTTCACAATAAAATCGAAAGTTTTTGTTGCAAGGGAATTTCATTTTTCAGAAGGAAAAATCGAATTGAGTAACACTACTCACAGAAAGGCAAAGCAAAACAAGTTGGTAGCGTTTGTTGACTTCACGAGAAGCTGATCTGGTAAACTCAACAGAAAAAGAATTATCAAACGAGGTGAGTTTGAAATTGAAATTGGTGTCCCCGACTAGTATGCTCACTTGTGGCAAGCTAGTAGAACGGCACATTAATAAAGCGATTGATTGACTGATTGATTGATCGCATTAAAGGTCGACTTTGGATTCGACATTTTTACAAGAAAAGTTCAATAGTATGTAGTCTATTTAAGCTTATTTAATTTTTCAAATAAGTTTGAATATCTTCGTTCTTGAATAAGTCAAAAAGACGAGGAGTAAATTCCTTCAACTCCAACGTAGCATCTCAGATTATTTTTTAAGACGTTCTCTTCGTCTATAAAGTTTAACACTGCACTCCAGTTTTGAAGCCTTTAAATTTAATTTGGTGGGCAAAATAACTTTGCTGTATTTTGCTGTAATAATAGGCTTATCTGTGAATTAGTGTTTTGGTGTCTATATTACACATAAAATACATATTAGTAGACGCTAACTCCATTGTCTTCTTCTTCTTCTTCTAGTTATACAATCTTGTCTCACGGTTCCAGTAAGATCATTCTATGATTTCTAAGGCCCCGTCCACACCCGTCCGCATTTTTTTTTTCGGATCCGGGTTGCGCCCACACGTATCCAGAAATTTTTGTATCCGTATCCGGAAATTTTCGAAAACGGTCTCCAGAGTGGAAATTTTCGGATACGCTCCGAATACGGATTCGTGTGGAATGTCGTATCCATAAATTTTCGAATACGATGACGTAAAAACGATTTAGCGCATGCTCAATAAGAAAAACTATCCGACAAAGGGACTAGGCACTATTCCAATCCGATCATGTAATGAGGGCCACAGATTTGTTACCCACTGGCTATTAAGTGCTACCCTCGTATCTATCCGAAAAAAAAAAAAAAAAAGATGCGGTTACAAAAAGTTCTGGTTACGTGTGGACGGGGTCTAAATTGGAAGCAAAACGTCTTGACCAATATGCTTCGCTGAAAAATATTTTAAATGTACAAGAAAGAATGATGTAGATATATCTTGGCGAACTAATGGTTTTTATTTCACATCCCCATGCACTCGCTCAATAAATCGCTTTCTGTTTGAAGACCGGGGTAAGATGATATGCCCACAAGATATGCAGAAAGTGAAATTTATAACTTTCCAAATATGAAAGTTTAGTTGCATGGCTACCAAAGGTATCACAGTAATGAAAAGGTTCGACCCGACACAAACTGCTCTAAAATGAATGAACGGACGGACGGACGGACGGACGGACGGATCGATGGATCGCTGGATGGATCAACAAACTGATTGACTACCTGATCAGATTAAATAAAAAGAAAGAAAGTTGAAGCAGTTCAACTCACTGCTTTATTCATTTTTTCCTCCAGGTCAAACATGTCTGGTTTGTATGCTGACGACAAAGCTGCCCAAATAGGTGTCACCCTGACGTTATCAATCCTAGTATTGACGGACATCATTGGAAACTCCCTAGTCATCAAGATCATATTAACCAACAAGTCCTTAAGATCTCCAATGATATATCTTCTCCTCAACCTAGCTGTAGCAGACTTGATGGTCGGGGTATTCTTCTCGCCGCTCTACATCTTCAGCCAATTTTTCTCTCATCCTGATGGTATTGTTGGAACAGTTGTGTGCAAATTGTTGACGGGAGGGTATTTTGCTTGGATTGGCGGTGCTTGTTCTGCAGCCACTCTTGTTGCCATATCTTTTGAGAGGTACTTTGCTGTAATGCATCCTTATAGTAAAAAGTACAAGCTAAATGGAAGGAAAGTTAAGCAAGTGATTGCTGGATGCTGGACCTCTGCATTTGTGATAATCATTCCTTGTTTTCTGGCATTGGATTATGACAAAGAAACCCATCTTTGTATGCAAATATGGTCGAAGAAGTGGTTTGGAAGTGCTTACAGCACACTTTGTTTCATCTACTTCGGGGTCATTCCAATCACCATCATGCTTGTTCTGTACAGCAGAGTCATCTACACTCTTTGGTTCAAGCAAAACCAAGAACAAGGTACGCAACTAGCCGTGTTGAAGTCGAGGAAGAGAGTAACCAAGGTGGTGGTCATTGTCAGTGTTATCTTTGCTGCCTGTTGGTTACCAGACTCCATCATCTATCTTCTTTACCATTACACTGACATAGAGTACAATTACTCGGTTGACGTTCCCTCTATCTGTGGAATCATTCTTGTGACGTGTAACTCTTCTATCAATCCGTTTATCTATACTTTCCAGAGCAAGGTTTTTCGGCGCCATTTGATTGAGCTTGTTTACTGCAGAAAGTCTCGTAAAAATGCCTTTCGTTATGACAATAAAAGAGATTCTATATACACAAGTATGAAGAATCCCAGAAGTGGCATCAATGATGAAACTACCAATGAACATTCTATGTAGTTACCAGACCAGACCAGACCAGACCAGACCAGACCAGATATATAGATAGAAAGTTTATTCAAGTTGCATTGCAGTTATAAACTAAATTGCGTACGTAACTATAATGTAAAATCGAAATAAATAAAAATACCTAATACAACTATACCAATACGAGATGTAGCATAAAGTGATTCGTGGAAATAAGCCTCGGGCTGAAAGCTCACTTTTATTAATAAAGTTCTTCTTCTTGATCTTCTTCTTCTAGATCATCATCATCATCATCATCATCATCAT